AACAGGATAAAAATGTATTGTAGGTGTTTGAACACGGCTGCCTACGCAGCATTGCACGAGTCTGGTGGGGCAGCCGGACGATCAATGCTGAGGTTAGGCGCACAGCTTTAGGTAAATGCGGTTTCCCACTGGATCAAATGGTCGACCTCTATAAATTACGTTGTTTGGGGCATGTATTACGCATGTCACCAGATAGGTTGCCACGGTGAGCGATGTTCACTGAGGCAGGTAGTGGGTGGGAGAAAGCCAAGGGTGGTCAAATGAAGACCTAGCATGAGGGTATGCAAATTCTAACCATGAGTTTGGGTCACATAGGTCCCGTTAGGCTTCCTTACTGGGGATCTCGGGACGATCGTAACCGATGGTTATAGATACTCAGTGCTATGTCAGTGTCGTAAAGAATGGCATCTTCACAATTTCTGTGCAATATAAATCCACTGAAATTCCCAATTTTCTCTTCTGTTCCACTTTCAACCTTCTTGTCTTTCTCCTAATGGGCATCCAAAAGACAGCAACCAAAACCGGCGCACGATGTTGCATGGTTAATGGTTGTACAGACTGAAAGTGAGTACACATTGGACGACAACTGTTCTGCACAAGTTCATTGACTAACTGGGGTAATTGGAAAACATGCCAATTTAGACATAAGAACGCACACTTACGAGTGAACGATTATTTCTGAATGATTTATTGTCTCTAACCACTACAGTGGTTTGATGCATTTCACGGTTGATTTCCATTCAGTCGTGAGCGTGTGACTATAGAAGCGGGAACATGGATGAGAGTGAGGTGACCGAATGGAACCCTCAACCCTAACTCGCCCCAAGTCCCTTATGTGATTTCCATCCCCCAGGGGATAGACCGCTGAAAACATTTTTTGGTCTTCTCATTTGTTTTTTACGGGATGGTTCCGTTTAATGAAATGTTGTCAATCATCGGTTGGTTATTTATCTCAAAGATGCACGTCAGATTATCACTGCTCCGTGTCTCACTCTGTTGATAATGAAGTGCGTATTGACAAACTGACCTCAATTGAGAATTGCTCTGCCCGTTGGCGAATTCGCGCTCTCTTTTATTACACCACTGTCAAAGTTTGTCGTGAATATGTGTTCACTCTGAGCTGCACGTCTCACGTGTCCATCTTTTCTCATCTTAGCTTCTTTTTTATTTTCATAAACTATGCTTAGAGGATGTTGGTGTTCGTATGTTCTCCGAGCTGGAAATGTTCTGTTCAGTGCACCGATGATGTTACCCGCCTGGTTACAAAACGTCTTCGAACAACACTTCCAGTTCGGAGAACATACCAATATCCGCAGTCTGAGCGACAAGCATTTCACATCATTTCCATGCTTAGAGGATGTTCTTCCTCTGTTTCTCGATGGTGACTCACATACCTCATTCCACTCAATACCCTGTCCATTTTTGTGTTTCAGAGAGATGCTCGTGGTAGTGTCAGTTTGAAGATTGTCCCCAGTTATCGGACGAATCCTGTCCAATGCGAGGTCAGTTTGGTGTGCAACGTTCCCGTTTTTGTGTCCTTGTGTGTGTGTGTCTATGACACTAATCTCTCGGTCTCACACGCGATGTCCCTTTCCATTATATACACGCACACACACACACACACACATATGGTTCTTATACAGCCTCTTGTCTTGCTTTATCTAATTACTATTTTTATTTTCTTTTACCCACAGATATACGTGCGGGCTATGTTTGATTACAATCCGGAAAATGACGATCTCATCCCATGTCCGCAAGCCGGTGTTCGCTTTTCCACCGGCGATGTTCTTCAGATAATCAGCAAAGATGATCACAATTGGTGGCAGGTTAGTAATCACATGATCGTTTATTCTCTCTCTCTCTTGTCTGTTGTTGGTTCGATCCTTTGAGATGGGAAAAAAATCGAGCGGTGTTTCCATCACAACTCATTTGCAGGGTCCCACTGCTTTTTTGTATAAAGTTTGGTCTAATCTAGTGTCAATGATCGATTTGACTAAACAGCAATGTGCTCACTACAACAATGACTGCATTTTTGTTCTATTTGTCTACCGGACGACCACGTTTCACACACCAGTCCAAGTGTCGGATGACCAACTAATCCGATGCGAGAAAAATCATGTGATTTCAATTCCACAATTCTCGGTTTACTCGGTCCGGGTAACATGATTATTCCTGGTTAGACTGGTACTTTTTATAACCGTTTTTATTCTCTTACAGTTTCTGTTTGGCATCCCTAATACTTTTCAAAATTCACTGATCCAGAACTCATCAGCATTGTGTGCTATTTTTGTGTTTCTGTCGGGACTATAATCGCAAATCCTTGTGTTAGAAACTGGAACCACCACCCCGGAGCTAATTGGCGAATGACCAACATCTTGAGCGAGTGTCCACATAGCTTAACTGGGTTCTTGTTTGAATTCCGTGCAAATTCACGGATACCAGGGATATAGCCATGAATCGGAAGAGAGGAAAAGCTTATTTAGTCTCTGCACCAAGGCTCAGAGGTGTGACAGAAGAAAACAACGTCCGAGATAAGGTGACAGCTACAGCCCAGTGTACAGTATCTGCAGCTCATTCACTATAAATACGGTGCTATTGATCATCAACGCCTCGCTCTAACCGATCGAACTGGCCCCGGTAAAGCAGCCGAAACTGTCCCAACTTAGGCAACAACGTGAGTCGTGCAACATTCAGTTGCGTGGTGGAGAACTAACTCGAATTCGTTCGAGCCCTACTTTTTGGCCCTCCGAGATTCTCTACGATGCCCGGGAATAACGCTCATCAGAATCGGAGACACCTGAGGGGGCACTCATTCAAATTAGTGTTCCAAAAATGCCGGCGTTATTCATTCGCCCTCAGAATGTGCACTACTTGGAATTCTCTATCACCACACGTTGTTTCTGCGTCTACAAATGATTCATTTAAGCACAAACTGGATGAAGTCTTGACAAGTCTTAAATTTCAACATCCGTAGCAGTGTGCGAAACAAGCATAAATTTTGATATTCGTCAACTTTCTATGAACCATGAATTGATTCATCTGTGCTAAACCCTATGGGACTAGAAAAGCAACCGCTTGTAAGTATTTCCCATAATAAAACTTTGAATTTGACGCATCGAATACTGGAGAACCCAAACCATCCATGTCGGCCGCTGCTCATGTTATCGAACAATGTACACCTTAGGGGGCACCGTTTCAAGTTACTGATTCCAAAATTCGACTGGAATGCCGGTGTCTATCTTTTGCAGTCAGATTGGGCAGTACTTGGAACACCCTTCCATTTCACGTCGTTTGTGCATCAACTATTGAATCTTTCAAGCGAATATTCGATAAAACCCGGGGGGTACACCTCACATCCCTACACTGCTAAAAAACGCCAATTCGTTGAAGACCAAATTATCTGTTATTTCGTACCTGGAACCCTATGTGATTTATTTTGTACGAGAAGCAATTCAACTGTGTAAATATCCTATGGGACAAGAGATGCACGAGCTTGTAAGTAATTCCCATAATAAAGCTTTGACATTATTCGTCCGAATGGTAACGATCCATTTTTTATCATTCCAGCTCACCACTCTGCTTTGTCTGTTTGTTTTTTTCGCGGTTCTCCCACTCCACGTCCTGTAGCTTACTTAACGTTTCCTTTAACGCTGTAATCATCGGGTTCACATCACATCCTCAAACTAGTGAATCGCTGACCCCTCCACGCCCCTCAACAATTCCCTGTTATCCTATTGGTTGAATTGAAGACCCAAGGCGAAATACCTCAAATTCTCAAACTAACCAAACCTCGTTCGACCTAATTACACATCATCCACTGGGTTTAGGAGACGGTGTCAACTCTGTGATTACGGTGTTACCGGAAGTGTTAACTAAGCTACAGGATGTAAGGTGGAGACAAACACAACAGTGAACTGAATGATGAAAATGGCGTGTGCCAGCGAAAAATGGGCCGATGATGTTCGGACGAACATCCAATGACCCGGTGAACAGTTGTGTATCATTCACGTCATTTGGCTATGGTTGATCGTCTTTCAATGTGCCACTTCGAGCACTTTTCACTGCTTAACCAGTCCACCACAGGCAGACTGGACAAGCGCCCCGGTGGAGGTGGGTGGATGAGTTCTAGCGAACACGAATTAATATCATCATCATCATCGCACAGCAAGATACAGTGAAGCGAGCTTTACTGATCGCTGCCGAGCTCACAAAGAACACAAATCAAGTGATAAAGCACAAGATGAAAAGGGATTGGTCCTACTTGGAGGGAGGCAAACAAAAAGAACCTCTATGTTCAACACACAGAGCACACAATCTAAGTGTTCATGCATACCTTTTTTCAAGCATTCTGACTTGTTAAGAAATGACAACAAGAACGCCACTGCTGTCGGTTAGTCGTCATATCCTTTAATGTCTCCAACCAGCCAGTTGCATTGCTCATCCTCCATGGATTCAACCTTTTTAACTTCCAGCCTAGCCGTTTGTAGGTCGATTCCCCGCAGAAATACCAGAGATAGACATTATGGATATGTCCTGACAAACAGAACACAATTGCCAGTCAAAAGAAATATGATCTACTTTACAGTGTTCGTTTTCCTCTCGACTAATCATAGTATACAGTCTTAAGACAATTGAGATGCATTACTGGTGTAACCAGCGAACCAATTCCTACTATGTCCAAGGTAACTGCAGCCATAAATCGTTTGCATCTTCGCTTTCTTTATCCGCAGAGCTAATCTTTCCGGAGAATTGGTCCAGACGTTTAGACCGGTATTGGTTAAGTGAATAACCTGAATAGTCTTGATAGTCTCGTTGCGCTGACTGCGTCCCGTGTCGCCTTGTTTTCAATAAAATCATCTTTTCAACTCAAGAGTGCCATCATCTTTGCCCCGTTTTCCGTCTCTTTTATATGGGGTAAATTCGGTTGGTTTTGGCAAAATTATCATACTCTCTATTTATTTGTATACTTTAAAGTGATTGTTTCATGTGAACTAAGTTAGTCTCCTGTTCCGTCGTCTGCCGTTCTCAATCATCGGTACGACCAGCGAAGCATGGGATCGTTAACTATCACCCATTAAACCTTAAAAAGACAACTCTACCATTTTACCTATTAATTGCTATCCGGTTCCTGCCCGATCGGTCAGCGCAATTTCAACAAAGAATAGAACACACTCTCTCTCTGTGATACTTGATGTAGTGCGTCCTCTGTTCATCACAACCCGGATGGACGCGCGTGTTTGCCTCTATGCTCATGGTTACGTTTTGTTCAATCGGCATAAATCCGACAAAATACATTTCCCTCTGCCTGTCCCAATACGGGACAAACCGATTTACAGGCCCGTTTGTGGGGTTCCGATTTCCATTCCGCTGCTGGACTGATACCCAGTCCGGAACTGCAGGAATGGCGCTCGGCGAACAAATGGAACGAGAACTCTCGTGGACAGGACTCGGTGCATTGCGGTTCATGGTTCACGCGAAAAAAACGTCAAGTGCGTGACAAATATCGTATCAAACATGCTGCTATCTATGACCAATTGGATTTAGTCACATACGAGGAAGTGGTCCGACTTCCACAATTCCGTCGACGAACTTTGGTTCTGTTGGGAGCACATGGAGTGGGCAGACGTCATATTAAAAATTGTTTGATTCAGTCCGCGCCGGACCGTTTCGCTTATCCGGTACCGCGTAAGTACTCTCACTATATATTTCGCTGATTGGCTATCGCTCACAGTCCTACTTCCGGGTTGCCGTTTTTTGTTGATTAACGAATGTATTATTTCTCGTCCCTTTGTTTACGCAAGTTTATTGATACGAAGCTGCTAATCAGTTCTGGAGGTAAAAGGTATCCGCATGAGAATTATTGAAAACGCACCCAAAACCCAAAGTATTTTCAATATCTTACATGATTATTTTTTTGGTTGTTTTTCCTAGTTTATTGAAAACCGTTTTTAATGTCTAACGATTTTGGGACTTCTTAAATGAGCATATAACTTATGTTAATTCTCCGGAGCGGATTTTTGCCAACTCCAATCGCTCCATGGCTCAGTGAACTAGCCAGGGAACTCGAAAATCTCGTCTGACCTCCAGGAACGATCCCTTCGACTAACCAGAAATGTTTTGTTTGGGATGCAAATTCAACCGGAGGATAGATAGTTCATATAGACTGACTGGTGTTAAGTGAATAATGAGTAGGTGCATGAGCGCCACTGTTTTCGACACCCAGCCATATCGCTCAGTTTCTCCACGACTAGCGATGTTTGCCGAGGCAGATAGCGGTTGAACCAAGGTCCAGGGAGGACCAGGAAATCATGATCACCGATGGTTAGTGACACTGAACGATATGACTGGATGTCGCAAACAGTGGCGGTCATGCATTTACTCATTATTCTTGTAAATTTAGTCTATATACATTCGCTATCTTTCGCCTGAATTTGCTCTCATTACTCCAATCTGTATTCTGCTGTCTTATCCAAATGGGCAACTTAAAAACAGCGACCAAAACCGGCGCACCATAGTGCATGGTTAACGGTTGTAAAAACGAAACGAAACGGAACTGAACTGAACTGTTTAGGATGTAGAGCAATCCCAACCCGGCCAACTCACGCAGGTGGCGTGTTCGATTCCAACTTACTCTTGTTCGTGTTCTAATATCAGTAGATTCTTCCAGGGTGAAATCACTGTGCCATGCTTCAGAGGTTTTTTCATTCCCGGATAGTTTACTTATTGTGCGTGAAGAATCCATATATGGGAAAAGAAAACCCCTTGGTCACTACGCAAATTCCGGTTTCAGTCACGATTCTCAAGCAGTAGAAAAATGTTTGCGAACATCACAAATTCCAGTAATAACAATTATGCATTAGGATGGGTCGGTTGGTATTTGCCAACTAGGGACATCTGTAGTGCCTCCGCGACGTTCACCTGTCCGTGAAGGATCGAGTGTATGTTGCGGAAGTTCGGTTAGTTCTCCTATACGCCGCGGAAACTTCACCAGTTAGAAAAAACGGATAAAGATAGACCGTCAGTGTTTAAACATCGCTATCTACGCCGCGGTGCACAAATCTGGTGGAGAAGCCAGACTAGTATTGCTGAGGTTAGGCGTAGAGTTTTGGGTAATCGCGGTCGCCCACTGGAGCACGTTGTCGACTTCCATAGATTACGTTGTTTGGGGCACGTGTTACGTATGTCACCAGATAGGTTGCCACGACGAGCGATGTTTTCCGAGGCAGGTAGTGGGTGGACAAAGGTTAAGGGCAGTCGAACGAGGACTTGGCATGAGGGTATGAAAACCTTGACCAGAGGACTGGGTCACATTGGTCCTGTTAGGCTCCCTGATTGGGGACCTCGGGATGGTCGTAACTGATGGTTAAAGACACTGGGTGATATGACAGTGTCGTAAACAGTGCCTTTCGTGCATCTCGCAATATTAGTTTACTGAATTTCTCCAATCTTCTATTCGACTCCTCTCCCAACTTTCCTGTCTTTCTCCTACTGTTCATCCAAATTTGTAGCCAAAATGCGGATGCCAAAACGGGCACACGAACATGCTCGGTTAATGGTTGTACAAACTGAACTGAACTGATGCATTAAGAATAAAGACTGCTTTGGTAACCTTTACTTACGTGAACGCGATGTATGTTCTCTATTCCAGTTTTGACCTTGCATAATCTTTGTTTTCATTTTCACTGCTTATGAAGAGTTTCCTCAGCACTTTATGCCTCCTAATTACTTTATGGATTCTCATAATAATAATAATATTAATAATGATAATAATAAAAGTAATATTAAGTGAATAGTGCATCACCAATTGCACTATGAACTGCATGGACCATTTGGAATCAAAGATAAAAGATGCATATTCCTTGCCTTAGGTTTTTTCGACATGCTTTTGTTTTTGTCCATTTTTTCTCTATGATTTGGTAAACCTCTGAGTACTCGTCTCATCACATGCTATCCGGAATTCGAGTGACTAACGCTTCATCCTTAATTCAAAGAAATCTCCACGCCTTTCTCCTATAACAGAAATGCTTACATTATGACATTTCCACCAGATAATTCGCATAGCTTAAATTTTTGCTCCTCGGTCTGGTTCTGTAGATACAACCCGAGCACCCCGTAAAGATGAGGTGAATGGAAAGAACTACTACTTTGTCACGCATGACGAGATGATGCGTGATATAGCGAGTAATGAGTATTTGGAATATGGTACACACGAAGATGCGATGTACGGGACTAAGCTAGACACAATCAGGCAAATTCATGCGGCCGGCCTGATCGCGATCCTCGATGTGGAACCTCAAGCACTGAAGGTGCTCCGAACGGCCGAATTCGCCCCGTTGGTCGTGTGCATTGCAGCTCCGGCGCTGCGTGACATGACAAACGAACAGAATAGCCCAAACGTGAGTTTCAATCTCCGTGCAAACTGATGTCCCTCCTCCTCCACAGTCTTAACTTTGATTTTGTCTTTTGTTCGTCTTGACTCGTTCACATTTTACCTGTTTCGATTCTCCTTTTCAAATGATTGTTAAATTATGGAACACTTTGGTTTTTTGCATTTCCAACCCCTTACAGTCTTTTCCTCTTCCAGAACAGAATCAACAAAGTGGTTTTTACATGTGACCGAGCAGACCTCACTACAATGTTTTCAACTACGGGATTCACCCACTTTTGTGGTAAAGCATTTTATGTATCAGAAACGGAAGTAACAGCACCTAATTTGGTATTTACGTAGTGTTTGATAACTTTTCAAATCTACGTGATAGGATGATATACAATTCATCACGAAAATATGGATGAATAGATAAATCGTTAGTAGCAGTTCCTCTTCTCGGGTGACTTACTACTACTCCAGTAGT